CCGACCACTCCGGCCGTTACGCCCACCTCTTCCACCAAACTCTGGGCGGCGTTCAGATGCACTTTAGCCGTCTGTTTGTACTCAACGCCCGACACAACACCACCACTACTGGCCGTAATGTAGTCGACGCCCAACGCCTTCAAGCGTTTAGCAAACTCCAGGGTTTGCTTCAAATCCCAGCCGTTGTCGGCGTAATCGGTGACCGAAACCTTTGCGCCCAAAACAATGTCGTCGGGCAAAGAGTTTCGCACACTTTCGGCCATTTCAAGACCGAAACGCATCCGATTCTCGAGACAACCGCCGTATCGGTCGGTCCGATGATTAGAGATGGGCGATAGGAATGTGCTGATCAGATAACCATGCGCTAAGTGCAACTCAATCACCTTTGTCATTTAATAAATACATTATTTTAAGACACTATTCGCAACAGTAAACAAGCATTTTATACCTGAAAGCCCGCTTTGACCGCACGGAGAGCCGACGAAACAAACGCACCGGTAATGCAATGAATGTCCTCAACGGTGGCCTCTTTGGGCACTTTATCCATATTAGCGCCGAAAGCGATGGCCGACGGCCCGATCGTAGGCCAACCGCCCTCCGAGTCGGGTATAGAGCCCCGGCCCACAGTTGGCGGCAAATTACTGCCCTTACGGCCGGCGTGTGACAGTTGAATGCCGGCGACTGCGCCCTGACTTTTCACAAATCGCACGATTCTGGCCAACGGCTCGATCTGTTGGTCGCACCACAGACCCAAACACTGGTGAGTTATGCGACCCCTGGGCTCCACACCCGTGGCCTCCATCACGACGAGCGCCGCGCCTCCCCTCGCGAATGAGCCCGCGTTCACCAAATGCCAGTCGTTGGCCAACCCGTCGGTCGCCGAGTACTGACACAACGCCGGAACGCAGATCCGATTCTTCAGTGTCTGTCCTCTGATTGTGAGCGAAGAGAAGAGATGGCTCTTCGCTGTGCCGTTCATTGTATTGTATGACTACTCTATTCAAGATTATTATTATTAATTTAATTACTTGTAAATGTTATTCACTAATGAGTGATTGCAATTGAATCACAAAAATCATTACACTTTAACTACTGGTATTAGTTTCAGTAATTGATTATAAAAATGAAATAACAATGACATTTATAAAAATAAGTTACAGTATTTGATAAGTGGGCAGAATTCATGAAAACACACATGATACAATTTAATGGTATTATTAAACGTTTCTTAATGTGAAATACTTTGTACAGTTATATGTAAAATAGTTTAGCTTTTGTGGTAAAGTTGTATAAATTATTTATTCTTAATGGTTAAAAATCATTTATTGATGTCCAGCACCAGTACTTTAAATGGTAATGATGTTCACTATTTCTGTGTTTTATTGATTATTAGGAGAGAAAGAAAGAGAGAGAGAGAGAGAGAGAGAGAGAGAGAGTTTATATTGTAGATTATATATTATTGTTAGGAATTAAATTATAATCGATATTTTATGTAGAAATACAATTTTTATCTATTTCAATGAATTAATGAAGGATTATTAGTTTGAATTTAGTGTGAATTTAGTGCACAAATGTTAATTGTATAAGGTTAATTTGTTATTAATAATGGTGGTTTGTAAATATTTTTTATAACAAATGGATTATTTATCATTTTAACCGACAAACATATAGCACATGCACTGTATTTGATAATTTTGATTGGAATTTTTGTATATAATACAATAATTTTATACAATAATTGTATTCAGTACATCATATTATTCATCACATCAGGATATCATTGTGTAAAGCTCATCATCTAGTAAAAGTGATTTTATTTTTACTTAACAAGGTAAATTTGGTATTTTATAATATATTTAATAATAGTATAATGTATTAGTAATTACTATAAAGTTTATACAGTAGTATACACATATTGTATTTGTTGTATTTACATCATATAAATTAAAAATATAAATAACTACTGTATTTAGTTACATAAAGGTAACTTCAGTTAACTATAGTTACATTGTTTCTAACCTATCTCTCTCTCTCTCTCTCTCTCTCTCTCTCTCAATTATCTGGAAGTTAGTAACACTGAACTATTTAATTAAAATACATTTACCCGATTACTATAATGCATCACAAATTTTCATTTCATTTAGATTTTTAAATATTTTTAACAAGAAATTTCTAAAAATTCTATTTTAAACGAGTTGTTCAGAAGTATTTGATAATTAAATATCAGAATAAAGTAGGTGAATTGAAATGACAAAATTAAATATTTCTATGATTATATGGTATTGTTTCAAAATGATATAATAACATAACATACATCTCAATAAATTAATCTGTCTAAATGTACAGTTGTTGCAATGTCACTTGAATTATACTAATTATATATTGTTATTATTTAATTTTAATATGATTTTTAAAATTTTATTTTTAGATAATTAATCAATTTACTAAATGTTTTTTACATACATACAAATCTGTATAAGCATAAAATACTGTAGATGAAAATTACACCGTATGTTACTTTAAAATTTAAAGTTTAAATATATCAATACTTTACAAACTGCAAAACCATGTAAAACAATAAATGCTGTATTAAGATTGCAGTCATGCATATCATTCATCGCGGTCTCTAATCTCGATACTTTCATCGCTCGTTATATTCAAAACTTTTTTCACACAATCCTATAAACAATTAAATAAATAAATATCAATTAATTATAAACTATATGTAAATAATTAATAACAATTAAAATATCACACATCGTGTTCAACATAAAGAGCTCGTCTACTTTTGATGGTCTCTTTGTTCAGTTGTTGCAGTGATTGTCTCAAACAGTTTCGGTAATCATTATTACAAGACGTTAAGATCACGTCTTTGTCCACATCTGTGTTCACTTTGTATTTGGACAACACTTCCGACGATTCGTTAATACACTTTAGTTTCAATCCTTTTACCTATAGTTTGATATTATATTTAAAAATAATTTATATTCTGTTAATACTTTATATTTAACTATAAAATAAATATTTAATTTAGAAATAATCATCATGATAATAATTCAAATAACAATAACTACTATATATTAAATTTAATTTAATTAATTTATAATACCTTTTCCCTAACCGCTAGATTAGCCTTTATGTAAATGTTAGTACATTTTTTCATGTGATCCAATGTTTGGGCAGTAATTGTATTGAAATCGCAAACCTTTTGTCTCACATTTTTAACATAATTTAAATAATCGACGGTTTCTTTTGAATAACTGGTCTTAACATCACAACTGATTTCATTCATAATTGACATTAACATTACAAATGTTAATAAAAAGTTATAATATTTCATTATCTTAATAAATGTATAGTTTAAAATTATTGAAAACACAAATTGTTAATTTTAGATCATAAATGTGCTCATAATAATAAAAGTGCTTGGTTAAAATAAATTCAATTTACATATTATATATTTTAAATATAATATTTAATAATAGTACAAATAAAATCTGGATTTGTTTAAACATTAGATCAAATATTCTGCAATTATTTGCTCACATGCTTTACAATTATAATGCATACAGTACATACAGTACAACTGTATATTATGACAGATAATTACATAATTATTACATCAAATTAAAAAAATTTTACTTAAAATTGTTATTTACAAATATGAATTTAAAAGAAGAGTTGGTTATATTTATACTAATTATCAAACATTTTATTAGCACCTTTCTAAACTCATATTTGCATTCTCAATTTATTAAGATGAATTATAAATTATATTAAATGTTACATAAGAACAAACTACTGTATAAGAATGTTAATTAATTATTAATTAATTATTGGTAACAATGTTGTAAGTAATTAATAAAATTTTAATAAAAATATCTTATGAATCACAAAATTGTAATAAGTCTTATTAAATAAGATATCTATAAATTTGTAATTTATTAATTAGAAATACTAACTGTAAGTAAAAAACATACGTATATAAAATAAATATTATTTCTTAATAAAAAAATGTGTTTCTCTTTTAAAATGAAGTAAATAATATTTTGCATATATTGTATGCAAAAACAACTTAATTAAACTAGATTTACTTATGTTTATGCCGTATTTTAAGTTATAAATACAGTTTAATGCCTAAAATAATGTACCAAAATCTCAACGATGAGAAAGAAAAGAAATACTTCGCTAACAATACGGACAAAGATTTTGCCTCAAAATACGGCCACAAATGCGGAAAATTATTCAAAATAATTATCCCTTTATTTATCATAATTATTGCAGTGATAGCCGTATTGATATACATCACCTCTTATGACAGCTTCAACACAAATGGCGATGATTTCGATGAAATACGGATCAAAAACGGCACAAATCCGGAGATAATGGCCAGAAAATCATATAAAGTGAAACAACGCGTCATTTTGAATGAGAAATACTTTCGTGTTAAGGATTGCGGTAATTTCTGGCTCAATTATATTTTATTTTAAATTAAAACTATTATATAGACAATATTTATTATTATCAATTGACGTGTTATTAAATAATTTAACAAGTTTTAATACATAAAATGTAATCATATACATGTACTGTATACTTAATTATGCTAATAATTATAAATATGGACATTACGTGTCTGTATTGTGCTGTATGTTTAGGTCACGCGTCGGACACAATGTACCCGCAGTTCATGTCCTTCGAGCCGACGCCTATCAATGTGTACCGAAATATGACAATGAATTGGCGAATACTATTGAAGTCTCCGTTGCAGTGGACGACACAAATGGACGTACAGATGGAGAAAGTGCTGTTCGGACTCGATTGGCTCAAAATTAAAATACCATGTTTTATGGACTACTTTGGATCATGCAACTTCAATTTCTGCAAAATGATGCAGCTCCATTGGGACGAACAGATGTGCGATTACGTACATACAAACTATAATATCAGTTGCCAGTGTCCGGACACTTTCGCGCTCAACGTGTTTGAGTTGAATGACTTTAATTACTCGGTTATTGTCGACCGCGTCATGAAATACTTTTCATGGTTTGCTAATGTAAGTACTCTATTTCTAAAATATCATTTACATTTATCATGTTTATCATGACACATTATCATGTAGTAAAATAATTTTTAATGAAAACATAATCATTATTAATTTAATTTATTTTATTTAATTATTACAACAACATTATTATTTGTCCACCGTTTAGGGCTGGTATAATCTAAACGTACGGATTTACGACAAGGTATCCAGACAGCAAGGAATGTGCATCAAGTTGCATTTTAATATTGATAACTCGGATGACGAATAGAATTTATTTTTTAAAATTTATTAAACTTACTTTACTTTCTTTATTTCCAAAATATTTTATTAAATCTAAAATACACAATAATAGGTAAATTGTTTATTTGTCATAATATGATACAAAAATTATTTATAAAAATATTCATGAAATAAAAAGTATATACAGTAATTGGTAAAACAATTAAAAATTTTAAAATAAAGATTAATAAATTACAATGATTAATATTATCAATGATCATAGCATATAGATTCTAAATTAAAATACGTCTGATAACTTGGTCGGTCTCTTCATAGTAATCAAGTTGTTTGTCCATTAGCTTAATGGTGCCATTAGTGAGACGACCCGGACTATAGAAATAATTGAAATCCAGTGACTGAACCGTATTTAACAACTGAAGGTTCGGTCGGTTTTGGCTGAACATTAACTCGAGGGCCAATCGGCACACGTTTGAGCTCATTGTGCACACAATGTAATCGCATTCACTCAACAAAAACTCATCAATTATTAGATCCAGAGTCGCGTTATCAGTGTTTCGCACATCTGTTTGGGCTCTTAGAGAATGCAATGGATTTCCCTTAAAAATATAACCCATATCTCTATACGCGTTGAGATCCTCTTCCCATACGCTGGGGTCGTCGGTCGCCAAATACACTAATCTGTCGGTCGTTTTGTTCACCTCATTCACCTTGTTCATGTAATCCAGTTTATTGTAGTACTCGTCCACATATCTCATGTACTCATCAAATGAGTAATACTCGGCTTCGGTACCGATTTTGTCAGTCCTTCGCACATGTATGCCGACGATCGGGTGTCGGAACAGAAATGTTTGTTTGTATTCATCGAGTTGTCTGCGAAACCAGAGCTGCGGTCGCATAATATAACTTACAATATTACCCATATATTGTATGAATGGACCGTCAGTTATGGTCTCCATGTCGTCGGCGACTTCGGCCGGAATGTCCAGCAAAACGAGTTTATCATTCTTAGAGATCGGGTAATAAATCACTTGATAATCATCTAAATTAGGTGACGTTTTTGACCACACGGTACGATTATGGCCAATGGCATCGGTACAGGTGTCGCTCAAGGGCTCAAACATTTTGGCAAACATAACGTTTTGGGACACCGATGTATTTTCACTGGGCTGGATATGGGGTTCGTATACAAGTGTGCGGTTTAATTGTAGGGCCACAACGAGGCACCGGGACATCAGATGTATACGGCATGAGAAACCACAGCTGTATTTGAGTTTACAAATCAATTTCTTAGCCGACGAACAGTCGCTGGGATTCTGGAGGCAACGGATTTGCCGCTGGATTCTTGTGTTCACGTCATTGACTCTCTGTTCGCGCCATCGATTGTCTCGTTTGGCGATTACATCCAAATCGTTGAGCAGTTTGTATCGCAATGTTTCAAAGTCTTTGATAACATTTGTATTGAAGTTATCTCTCATTAAATGCCACAAACGGTTGATGTTTTTAACAACACTTCGGCGACTCTTTTCGTAGTCAACGCTCGGATGACATGACTTGTCGTTATTATTATTGCCATTAATATTATCATTATATGGATTAGTACTGCGTTTTGTAGTGATATGTAAATTATTAACCTTTTCTTCAATTAAGTTGAGTTCATTCTCCACTTTATATAACTTTAAGTGAATTATTTTAAGATTTTCATAAAATTCATGAATTGCCAGATATTGACAATAAAATATAATGATTAATACAAAACAAAATACTAATTTTGAATATTTATTGAAGTGATGTTTAATTGAATGCATTTTACACCGTAAAACTAAATAGTGGAAATTTTTACAAAAACAATATTTAATATAATTTCAGGTCTATATTTATAAATGTTACCAAATATAATATTTATAATATAATAGATATAATAAAAATGCGATAACTTAATTTACTATAAATTACATTAATGTTGAAACTCGTTAATACTGTACTAACACAAAAGTATTTGTTATTGAATTTGAAAAACAAATATCAGATATGAAAATTTGGTTACTTTATTATAACATATATTTATAATATTAGTCAATTTCTAAAATTATTTTATACCTGTTTGTTGTTTAAATATAAAATTGTTGAAATTATAAAACGTGTTAAATTATTGCAATATAAATAATAAAATATGAATAATAAAAAGTAAGTTTACCAAAAATCAAGATTGAAATCGTGCTGAAATACCATTATGTATTTTGTATTATAATAATTTATTTAATAGGTTTTTAAATACTATGCACACACAGTATTTATAATTTAAACTTATTACAATATTTGCTATAATTAATAGCTTATAAATTTAATTCAAAATAATATATAAATTTATTTTTCATATAAGCTTTTAATAAAAGTTAAAAGATCTTGGTAGAATACTAAAATAATATTACAAAATGACTAAATTATGTGTTGTGATATTTTGTGTTTTAATTTTATTCAATACTGTTATGTATTTATATAAAAGAAACACAATATTGTTTAATGAAATGAGTAATTCAGATAAATATTTCTCTGATTCTGCAGTAAATAATAAATTCAAAGACGGAAAGTATATAAAAACGAGAGAAGAGTTTGAATTGACTAAAAATATGCCAATAATTGTGGGCAATGAGTGCTCAGGGAGTGAAAGTGTGTCTATATTTGTGGAAACGGCGGCACAAGTGAAGAGTGCGGCCAAAGATCGGCGACAAGTCGTGAGAAACAGTTGGGCTAAAGAAGCCAAATATTTATACAATATTGACGTCTATTTTGTGTTTGCATTGAATTCAGATCCAGTGGTCAATGAATTGATTGAATCCGAGTCTAAACAATACGGAGATATCATTCAATTTGATTTCATTGACAGCTATTATAATTTAACTCTCAAAACTATATCACTGTTGCGTTGGATTCAAAATTATTGCGTAAAATCTAAATATATTGTAAAAACTGACGACAATATCATTATTAATATTGAAAGACTTTGGGATCAGTTAAATATATTTAAGACTGGATTCACTGGATTTAGAAAACACGGAACGCATGAAAGCGCATATTTGTGGACAAACAATATCACCAATCAATTGGTCGATACGATCAACAATTATACGGGATATGTGTTTGAAAATGAAGACCTCTTTCTCACCGTTATTATTACAGAAAAAGCTAAAATTCCTGTCTATAGCGATGAATATTATTTACAAACCAAGTGTGAAGTTGAATATATACCCAAAATGTCCACGCTCATATTTCTGGCCAGTTGTGTTTCGGCAACCGAAATGTATAATTTCTACAAACAATGGAAAAATATAAATACAAATCACAATAAAAACGACCAAAACTCTGAGAAAAATCTGTTAATTATATTTTATGTAATTCCTGTCATTGCTTTAATTGTATTTATATTATTATCATATATGAACACAAAACATGATGTGGTCATACTATCTACCAAGGGTGTTTGATGAGGCATGCCATAGTTTTGCGTGTATAATGATAAAATCATTTTTTAGAAGATTTAACAAATAGGTAATATTTAATATGTTCATTATTATAAATTACGATTATGTTTAAAAATTATTAATAAAACATATTTTTTACAACACAATTAAAAGTTTAATTAATAAATTACGAAATTATACAACTTTTCCGGAACTCAACGTTTGAGTATACGATTGTGAAAATGCTAATTTTTCCGACAAATATGTTGTAAATGTATAAACAATAATAAATGCAATAAATAAACAAATGAAAACGAGGTAATTATTGGGCAAATTTGAATCAGATTTCCAAAAATACGTGATATTTTTCCATTGATTGTAGAAATGATAGGTTTGATTGGCTGAAACACAATTTGCCAAAACTATAAGCCGAGACATTTTGGGAATGTGTTTGACATCACAATTGGTTTGGAAATAAAAATCATCGCTTTTATGAACCTAAATGTCAGCCTTTTCTGCTATAATACCGGTGAGGAATAGGTCTTCATTTTCAAACACATATCCCGTATAATTGTTGATCGTATCGACCAATTGATTGGTGATATTATTTGTCCACAAGTATGCGCT